CCGGAGCTGTCGAGTAATTTAATCTCCGCTTGGCACCGGTGCCCAACTGAAAGCAGCGCCGCTTCTGTCCGTTGGCGGGAAGGCTAATGAACCGGAAGGCTCCGACACCGGCTGTGCTCTTCCGGCAAAATAAACCTCCGCCACCCTACTCGGGGGGCGCAGTACGCAAACAGACGGGGGCGCGAGGACGTTATATGCCCGCGTATAATTTCCGCACACGGCAGAGTGGTCGATAATAATTGATGATCGGGGAGAGAGAGAGATCATGGCGCGGAAAGCGGTGGCAGCAACGGGGATTAAACGACGATTCGAACGTTACTGTTTCCGCATCGAATTAGAACCGTTTACTTTGGCCTTCGATTCTCGTTCAACGCAAAGGTTAAAGGCCGTGGAGAAGGCTGGATCGTGACACTGCGTTGTGTTTCCTCTCGAGGCTTTCGTGATGTTGATTCGTTGAGGTGTGGATCCGTTTGATTTTTCGATGGAGAAATGTTGTGTCATGAAAATTGAAAATTTGGATGTTATAAAAAGTAATCGCTCGTAGATGTTTAGTGACATCGATCATTTTTATTAGAGAGGGATTAATAGATTATTTTTACTCTTTTTCTTTTTTAATGTATGTTGTTTCGTTATTTATTTATTGCAATCGAAAATGTTTATTATGAATATATTTTCACGATTTCGTACTTCTTAGTATTTTCAAACTATTATTTTGGATGGTATGTATAAAATATAAATACAGGTTGGTAAATGATTCATTGTTACGTTATTATATAAAAATACGAAATATCTGTTTTTTTGTTCGATACAGTGCGCAAATGGATTGGTTGTGTTTATTTTAGATCCATTTCAGAATTATTCGTTCTTATAAATACAAAATGATATTGATGGAAAATTAAATTTATTGCATTAGAAGTTTCGTGTTAAATTTTTTTTTCTCTCGTTCAGCGAATTTCGATATATCGATTCCTGAAGTTTATTTATTTTTACCTAGTAAAAATATATAAATTTTTCCTAGAAAGTTCCGAAAGCAAACAAAAATCAACGAACGTGATATTTCGTGATCTCGTAGGCTAAAGAATCGATCTCTCGTTAAAAATAATATTCGCTTATACGTTATACCTCTCAAAAGTAAAATAGTAGTAAAATAGCAGTAAAAAAGTAAAGTAAAATTCTTCTTATTTCGATCATTTTATTGTAGCATTTATTACGAATTATATTTAATATTCATAAAAATCACTTTTAGAATTGCTATGATATTCTGCTACTTATTTATAATAAATTGTCAAGAAATTATTTTCCTTCATTTTAACTCGTTATGACTATTATTTACACTTAAGTAAAGTGGCTACAAATCTTTATTTCAGATATTAAAATCTTTCTTTCCCGATTTTGGCCGATATCCTGAATATTATTCTTTAACTGTATCCAATTTTACGTTTGTACGTTCACCTTGCATCTGCCAATCGCACGTAATCCGCGCACAATCGATCTTTAACCTATCTACTTAAAATACACGCAGATGGAATAATAAAAAAAATAAAAAGCACAAGGAAAGAAATGAAGTCAGAGAAGGGAGCAACATCGGAGGGGAATGAAACAAAACTCTCATGCAAATTGTAAGGGAAGAAAGTAGGTTCGCGGGATGGAGAGCGACACGTGGGAATGGGGCGCGTTAAAATCTCGTTTGAGCGACGTACGAGCCGCGATCGGTGTCTGACGATGCTCTCGTCGGGGCAAGAGATATCTCGGCCACGTCCGACCCGGTTTGCACAGGAAAAGTACACACCAGATCCAGACTCCCTCGTGCCACGTCCTCGCGTCCAAAATCCGCGAATGAAAGTTGAAAATGAGCCAACTGGGTCGGTTGATCCCGCGCTTTTAAAGAAACGCTCGTCCTATCAAAAACATCGAGCGCCGCCTCGTTCAATGACGTTGTTCGATTCCCTGGAAAAAAATTGCAACTGATCGGATCCGATCGAGAACGAGATTTCACGTTGATGATTGTTGAAAGAAAGAAACAAAAAGGAAAGGAAAAATTAAAATTTTTCGACGAATATATTTCTCTGTTTTCTCAGAGTTAGGAAAAATGGATGGTTTTTTCTTATTTGAAAAATCGTGTGTAAAAATATCGCGCGATAACTTTTGCTCATTTTTCCCCCCGTTTCTCTTTTCTGTTTCTCCTCATTACCGTTTCATTTCGAGCCGCAACGATTCTCCCCCTTCCTCGTTACTCACGTATCAACTCATCGTCATAAATAATACGTTATTCGAAGTTTGAGCAAAGTTGCTCGCGTGAAATTGTATTTTCAAGTTTCCCTTCGTTATTCACCGTTTGTTTGCCGCTCATTAACAAACAACGTTTCGTCACGCAATTACAAATTTTTTTCCAAGTTTTAATCAAAGCAATCGAAAACCGTTGTTGTGCCTCCATCTTCCTTCCTTCCTTCCTTCCTTCCTTTCTGCGTTCTCCTGGAAGGAGCATAACCGCGGATGAAATTGTAACCTCGCCAATTTCGCAGTATACCGGTGCAACAAGATTCTATGCCGATAACGCGATTAATCTTCCGGTTTCCGTATACACGTCGTGTTGTAATTGTCGTTTGCTTCGCCTAATCGAAACGATGCAATTGTAATCGATAACGATATCACGAAGAATTTGTGTTTTTTTTTTTTTTTTTTCAAAAAGAATCTTTCATTCTCTCGCGTTTTTTAATGAAATGCTATAATTTTTTTTTTTTTTTTTACGTCCAAGCTTTTGAGCCTCAAAACTCATTAAGTAACTCTCAGACGATGTAACTGGCTCGGTGAATCTATGGGATATTGCAGGATCTAAAGGATATTATGAATTGGATGAGTTGAGAAAGTTGGTGGAGCTGCGAAACTTGGAGATGTCTTTACCTTTCGTGGGATAGTAGACATTTCTACGATCCCGAAAGCTTAAGTGACTTCCATAACTCGAAGATTTTTTTTTTTAAATCGTAGGGGACTGTACACATATATATATCTCGAAAAGGGAATCGTGAACGTTGGACGAGGGCAAGAAGTTGAGCAGAAGAACTCGAAAGTTCGAAAATTTTCAAGAAAGATACGCGAGGGCTTGCAAGAGATACCCGATCTTCGATGAAAATTTTCCATGTAAAATTCTTTCGAGAGAAAAATAATTTGGACACTCGCAGTGAAATATTTTGCTTCTAAAATTCGTTTCTAATATTTTCATCAAAATTTTTTCTACAAAATCTCTCTTCCTCCTCTTGTTTTATTTAAAAATACTCTCCACTCTGTACTCTCTACATATATTGAAACAAAAAGGAACTCCACCTCCACCTCCACAAAATTCGATCGTGAATTTCGATACCTCGCGATATGTAATATAATTCATAAATATGCACGGCTCGTCGACACCATCACCACCACCACCACCACCACCACGGGTGGTGGCCTCGCAACACACCATACCACACTTTACCTTTTAATCTCGCGGTAAATTAATTTGCTCTGGAATTGGTCGAATGGCCATACTCCGAACACCTGGCTGTCGTTGCCAGGCCAAAAACCGTGTTAATTTATTCCATCTATTAATAACCGTCCGATGCCATGCGGCAAGACGTTATCACGGGACAAAACCGGGCCGCAAACATTGACTTATCACTATACGCTGTCTCATGGAGGATTCAGGCGCAGGTTATCGCGAGGCGCCCGTTTCCCAGGACGTCCATTTACAACTTGGAGCTTGAGTAAAATGGAAGCGAACGACGTGGAAAATTTACATGCCGCTTTGTGCCACCACTTGCCCAACTTCCAAGCCTTGCTCGCTGCGCTGGCACACGTAAGCTTGTCAAGTATGGTGAGACGTGTACCTCTTTGACATAAAGGCGCCGGCTTCATAATTCACGGCAAACTTCCTTCAGGCGGTTCGACTTAGCGACATAAAGGAAAAGAGCTCCTGATGGAGAGTAAGAGAAAGAATCAAAAGATGGGCGGATCCAGCTTTACTCTCCATGTATATGTGTGTGTGTATATGTACAACCCTACCGTTGGAAAATTCTATTCAAAGGAGTTGTCCTCGTCCTCAACAAATCGAAGCTAACATTACACGTATCGTTATCCGTAACAATGGGACGAGCATGAACGTGTCTAACGTTTGTTATGTGTTTATTATTATTCAAACGATTCTAGGAAACGTTTCCTCCGTTATCATCGTCGCGAAATTGAAACAGTCAACATCGTAAGAACATTGTTTTTCTTCGATGATTACAAAGAAAAAAATTGTACAAAGTAGTTCGATGATATTCTACGAATAAATCTAAACTTAATCTTCGTCGTCTCGACGATCGAATCAGCTGATTGTAACTCGTAGAGATGAACACATTCTTTTTATCTTTGGCATCGAAATAAATAATCTCTTTAAATAAATATTCGTCCTCGCCCACTCAGCAGTAAAAAAAAAAGGAAGAAAGTAAAATAAAAAAAGTAATCTCATCAATCTCGCCACGAGCACGAGGAAAGGTATATATACGTTTGCCTCTGAATTACGTGTAGCACGGCTCGTTGAAAACCACGGGGAGGATCCCCGATTTCGGGAAGGTATCCGATAGAAGATAGAGCTCGCGAGCTTTACGACATTTCTGATAGCAACCCTCCGTGATTTACAATCGGTCTCGATGGAACGACGCGTTTTCAGCGAAGAAATGACTCGAATCTCTCCCCCTCCTCTCCTCCCCAAGCCTTACGAATTACACCCACCTCCTCCGCGGTAGTAAGCGGTGACGACCGCGTAAAAAGCAGATTCTATTTTCGTTTCTTCC